CGAGCACGCACGGCGCGAGATGACTTCATATATGAAGGTAGATTGCGAGCTGACGAGGACAACCCCCCTGCCGTGATGCCACCGAGGCGTCCGTGTCTCAGATCCATTACCCGGGCCTGGGGGTCGAGCCCCTACCCTCCCCGCACGCCAATAAAAGCTTGGTGGTATGGTTATTTTGCGCTGATGAGCTTCTATGGGGTCTATGAGATTCTATTGAACACGATGGGTTCATTCTCCGCGATGCTGGACGTCGCGCAGGCATCAGAAGTCGCCAATCTGGCAAAACTAGATGAGCCGTCAGCACCGGAAAATACGCTCCTAACGCCATGTCGCTCTTCCGGTGAGGAGAGAAGGCGATGTTCGCCCTCCAAGATAACATACACAAGCACTCTAAGCTTTCGCCAAGTGCATCGAAACGAGCGCATCGCGACCTTTCATTCCCACCCCCGGCTTCTTCCCCCCCCCCCACGACATACCACGAAGACCATCCGTCTGGCCCCGCGGCGTAATTTCGGTCCGTCTGTCACGTCGGCGAGCCCCTCCTATTGCCTGTCATGACGCCATGCAGCGCCTGTCCGTCGGCCCGCCAAGTACGGGCAATATGCGCAGACAACCGGAGCACGGGTTCGAGGTCGCAGGCTCTCTGGCCGCGGCGCGCCGCCGCGGCTGCGGAGGGCGTAGATTGCGCGCGGCCACGAGGTGCTATCTTCGTCCTTCGCGGAGAAACGCAATTTAGGCCTGGCAGAGGCCAAGATGCGTAGATGGCGATGGGCGTACCACGGTGTTGAGGTATGGGAGTTCGGGAAAAGCGAATTCCCCACCAACGAGGCGTCGCCTCCGCGAGGCTGGAAGTTGTATAAGAAGAGCAGCGGGATCGTCTGTTTCGAAATCCAGTTCTACAACCAGCATCCACTCATTCGATCAGCTGCACCAGCAACCCACACACTCACTATGCATTTCACCAAGGCCATCGCCCTGGCCATCCTGGGCTACAGGTTCGCACCCTCCCGCCCCCCCCACCTCTTCACCCAGCTAACCTCCCCCCCAGCGCCCTCGCCTTCGCCGCCCCCGTCGAAGCCACCACCGAGATCGCCCCGGCCGTAGCCGAAGTCGCCGCCCCGCAGGTCGTAGCGGTCCAAGCCGACGACCGCGACCGCTACGAGCGCGAGCGCCGCGAACGCGAGGAGCGCGAGAGGCGCGAGCGTGAGGAGCGTGAGCGCCGCGAGCACGGCCGCGGCGGCGACGACCGTGACCGTTATGAGCGCGAGCGCCGCGAGCGCGAGGAACGTGAACGCCGCGAGCGCGAGCGTGAGCGGGAGCGGGAGAGGGAGCGCGAGCGCGAGCGCCGTGAACGTGAGGAGCGTGAGCGTCGTGAGCGCGAGCATCGTGGTGGGCCGAGGGATCGGGATGGGCGGGACCGCGACCACCCCCGGGATCGGAATGGGTGGAAGCGCGATGTTGCCACTACTGAGGTTGCTGCGGATCGGCCTGGTGAGCACCGCGGGGATGATCGGCGCGAGAGGGAGGAGCGTGAGCGGCGCGAACGTGAGGAGCGTGAGCATCGCGAGCGGGAGCGCGAGCGGGAGCGGGAGAGGGAGCGCGAGCGTGAGCGCCGCGAGAGGGAGGAGCGTGAGCGCCGCGAGCGTGAGCATCGTGGCGATCGTGACCACCGTGGGGACCGTGATCACCGTGGGGACCGTGGCCGCGAGCACAACCGCGGGGGCAATGGCTGGTAAATGCTCGGTTTTGAGGGGGGTGTGAAGGTGGGATGGCAAGGTGGTGGTTATCTTCCAAAACGGGCATGCCCGGTCTCTGTCGTTTCCGATTTTGAATTTTTGTTTTGCTAGGTAGCTGATCAATAAGCCTCAGAATTGCGAAACTGCGGGTCCGAGTGCTTCGCGCGATATTAGGGAATGCGTTTTTAGGTCTGCTTTCTGCCTCAGCCTCCTTGTCTGTCTACCCGGCATTACGCCGAATCTAGGTTACTGGCGTACCCAGCCAGAGATCCCACTCATCAGGATCAGTATACCCAAGAACTGATATTGCCCACATCAACCTTTCGAACATTTCCCATTCGTCCTTAGTATGAGGCGAGTCGTTCGCTTCCTTGATGTCTGGCGGGCGGCCTGGCCACGCGTTGTCGCGCATGAACGCGTATGCCCTAAACCATCTTTGGAGGGTATACATGGCGTAACAGGTAAGGGCGAAAGCCGGAACTGAATCCTCTCGAAGAAGAGAAAATATGTTGAAAAGGATAACTGTGGGAAGACTAGTGAAGCGTTCCTCGGCCTGGAACTCGCGACGTTGGACGGGAGGGAGTGGTTCGGTACGAGTAGAGGAGAAGTAGGTAAGCGGATCTCCCGTGGTCGACTTCTTGGTTTTGATGGTAAAAGAAGCCCCATAATAGCTAGGGTTTTGAGGAGAGGTCGCCATATCGATAATGATGATGATTGTAGGGAGTATGAGGATGATGGCGGAGGTAAGGATGATACGGCGTTGAGGGGATCCAGCTTTTATCCTGGAGTCGGCACGATAAGGCTGAAAGGGGGTAGTGCATCCTGCTGACTTAGCATCCACGGCGTAAAGACGTAGAGCATTTTGCATACTATCCATCGAAGAGAAGATAGGTTCAGGTAAGTTTTGTGCTTCGAACATGAGTAGGCCTTCTGCGTCAGCGAATATGTCAATCATTGATATAGGTACGCAGGGGAAGAAAGAGCGTCACAGCCGAGCCCGCTTCCAGATTGTAGACTGAAAGCTCCCGCGTTGACAATATGACTATGCCGAGCGACAGATAGATGCGTAAACTCGGTCTGGGGAAGCATCCAGATGCTAGAGCAACACCTAACAAGGTGGTAAAACTTCATTGTGTGTTTGCGAGCTGATATTCTCTCCCTAACTCAACGCGTGTAACGCCTTTTTCTCCCCCCGCGTCCCCAGCTAGCGTACTCCGACTATCACCACGTGCCGATAAGACTTTCGTACCTGCGCCTCGAACCAGAACTTCAAGCTGTGATGCCCAAACACATCGCAACACCCCTCCATCAACAGCAAATCCCGCCTCCACGAACCCCACAATGTCCCTCGAGCCCCTCACCTCAGCCCCCACCGCCTCGCAATTCACCCCGCTCTCCGAGCACCAATCTCACACCCCCACCACCTTCTTCGGCGGCCCCGCCGTCCTGCACTACCACAGCCCCGCCTCCTCCCTCATCATCTCAAAAGCAGATTACGACCGCTACGCCCTGGTCCGCAACCTATGTGCCACGCCCCCCGCTGAAGACGCCGCAGACGTTCAAATAACCGGCGTGGATGTGTGGATAACCTCCGCGTATGCCCCTCGACCCCCCTTCCCCCACTTCTCGTACACCGCCTAACAAACCTCCAGCAACGTCCTCCTCTTCTCCCCCACCGCCTCCACAGGCCTCTCAATCTCCTACCCCATCATCGCCCTGCACGCACTGGGCACATACCCACCCACCTCCGCGCCGATGGTCTACCTCCAGCTCGACCTGTACGACGTAGAGCAGAGCAACTCAGACGACGACATCGAGACGCTGCACCTGAACATCATCCCAGCCTCGGCCGGAGAGGGAGCGGCCGCAGACACCGCCACCCCCCCGGCGAAACAGCTCTTCGAAGCGCTGTGCGCCTGCGCAGACCTGAATCCCGACACTGAGGAGGACGGGGAAACGCCGGATGAAACGGCGCCGGGGGCAACGGGGTGGATTACTTCAGAGAACATGGCGGACTTCATGGATGCAGACGGGAACTTTATCGGCGCGACGGAGCTAGGCCCAGGGGCAGGGACCGTACGCGGTCGGGAGGACGACGAAGTCGAAGACAACGACGGGACAAACGGGGAGGACAGCAAGTGGCAGCGTACAGAATAGTCTCCGCCTCCTCAATTCCATAGCTCACAAAAAAAGCAATCCCACACACCCACTTAACTCAACCGATCCCCCTTCCGACTCCTCCACACCTCACTAGCCTCATACTTGCTCTTCTCCCTCTCCTGCTCCGCCTGCGTCTCCGGTGCATGTCTCGTCGGCGCCGGGTCGGAGCTCGCCTCCCTACTCGGCTCGCCCGTGAAATCGCTCACCGCGTGCCCGTTCTGTGAGCGCCGGGCCCCTAGCGCCGCCAATGGACCCTCTGCGCTCTCTTTCACCGACCCCGGATGCCGCGCGCCGTACTCAGCGTCCCGCAGGGCTTGTTGCCGGGCGGCGAGTTCGCGGTCCCGTGCGGATTTCGCAGCGCGCTCGGCGTTGATGCTGCGTTTGGCGAAGACGTAGGCGCCGCCGCCCGCGGCGATGAGCACCAGCCAGCCGTAGCCTACGGAGCGGACCTAGAGGTGCTGGTTAGCATTGCAACGCGAGGAGAAGGGCCGGAGGAAGCGGACTGTATTCATTGTTCTATCTGGCGGTGAGAATTAATTGTTTGAGTTGTTTAGGGAGAAATTGCGGGGATTGTTTGGAGAGGGATTGGTGGTAATGCTTGGTGGAGGATGCTGTGTGCCCTACGAGGTTGGAAACTTTTGGTGAAGTGGTGCCACCTCCGCCCGCCGCCACGCTTGGCTGCGGGAGTGGCGCGGCGTAGGGCTGGGAAGCGTGGGGTGTGGCGCGAGCTGGGGCTGCTATGGCGGGTGGGTGGGCGAGGAGGGGTCGGCGGCGTGCTATGAGCTTCCATTGAGCTATGAGGGGCTATCCAGTTTACATCATTGCTTGTGCTTCGCTGTCTGGGACTGTGAGACCAATGTCTGCTCTTCATTTCATCGGGCATTATCGCGAGTGATACTGTACGGGAGACCCATCGCGCGGTTCCTAAGTTCGCCCTTGTCTTTCAGTACGCGGTGCGCTCCGGCATGGGCAAAGGAACACCAATTCCCCTCGTTCAACCACTCGGGTATGCTCGCATATATCATGCGTCCTCGTGGTTTTCACATCATCACTTATTATTTTTTGAGTTATAAGTTTGCAATTAGTTTCATCTCGCATCAATTCGGCTCAATGGTCTAGAGGTATGATTCTCGCTTCGGGCCATTCATTACTCCCCCCAGCCCAGCTGGGTTCCTGCAAAGGATATGCGAGAGGTCCCGCGTTCGACTCGCGGTTGAGCCCGTCTTTTTTCTCCCGAGATCGGTTTTTTTGATGCTGGGAAGGGAAAGGTATGGGAATGATTTTGTTCTTTTTTTTGAAGGGACCCAGGTAGTGGGGACGAGAGATGGTTCGTTGACGCGGGTACCGACGCATTCAAGCTTCAAGCACGACAGCATCCGCTACTCGTGAAAAGGGGAGCCAAAGGACATCAATGCAGTCTAATCCCTTCCAGAAAAACGCCTTCATGAACACCGCCCTCAAACAATCGTTAAATCTTTCACCTGTCCCCAAGCATTGAACCCTACACCACGAATGTTCCATTGCCCATCCTTATCCTGGCTATTCCCACCCCAATCCACCGCACGACAGAAAACCTGCCTCCCCTCGCCAGGCTCGACCTTAACCCGCGCACTCCACAAACACCACGCCCATCGCAACCTCCGCCTCCCCTCCACCGTCTTCAAGTCGTCTTTCTCAGCCCCGCCAAAATCCAGCTCCGCCTCCACCCACGTCTGCCCCCCATCCCCCGTAACCTCAGCCTTCATAACGGGGCCACAAACACCGGCGGGAACCGCATATCCCCTCGCTTCAATCGTGCCATCGGCGGCGCGGACAACCGTGCTCCCCGACTCCGGCAGCCCGACCACGGAGTTTACTGGCATGTCCATCATAGCCGGCACGGTGGGCCAGTATTTCTCCGCTTCCTCCCAGGTACGTGCTTCGGGGGGGAGGATCTTGTAGTCATGCTGCTGGTAGAAATTGGCGCAGTCGGTGGTGGATAACGTGATGAGGTTGAGCCACTTGACGGAGCGCGCGCCGGCGATGCCGGGGATTAGGGCGCGGACGGGGAAGCCGCGGTAGGGGGTTAGGGGGGCGCCGTTCATCTGAGGGTATCAGTTCAACGTTTGCCCGGGTGAAAGAGGGAATAAGGGTCGCACCTCAAGCGCCAAAATGCAATCCCCATCCTCATCCATAGCCCGCGCCAGCGGCACACTCCCGCCATACCAGCTATCATCCTCGCACGGCGTCTCATAGCACGCAAACGAGACCCACCCCTTATACCCCTTCTCATCCACCAAGCTATCCGCAACGCCCGCTTCCGCGAGCACATCGCGCAGGCGCGGTCCGCGCCAGGTGCAATTCATCACAGCGCCGTCGGCCCAGTCGAGGCCCTTGACTTCTTTGATGAGGGTGCGCATGCTGTGGCGTCTATTGCCGGCGCACTGGAGGACGGCGAGGACTTCATGCTGAGGAAAGGAGCGGAGATCGTCGATTGTGAAGAAGATCTTGCGGTTGACGAGCCCGTCGATTTGGACGGTGTGGGTTGCGGCGTTGATGTGTGGGATGGGGCCGTGATTGCGGTCGTATTCGTTTTTGGTTATGAAGCTGGGGGCGTTAGTGGAGCTTCGGGATATGAGTGAGGGAGTGCAGACCTTGAGAGCAGCTCGTCAATCGGCGGCTCGCGGTTCAGCGGCTCTTCCACCGTGTACTCGTACTACATGACGTCAGTCTCCTTGATATCTATAAAAAGGCCGCCAGTCTCGCGATGGCGCTGCGTTGCGGACTGGGGTGGTGGTTGAACCGAACATACCGTGGTCATAGCGGCGATGGCGTGCTCGCACCTGACAAGTGGCGTCGTGGCGGGAGGGGTGTATATAAAACGCGCAGAAGCCCGGCTCGCGAACGATGAATTTGAAACCTGTCAGAAAGAGCTGCAATGATGGCTCAACAAAAGATCGGCGGCACCGCCACTTGATATCCACTCGCCGATGCGTGGTCACTTCCCCACCGTCTCGTCACTCCCGTTCACCGCTCGGTGCGCGCACAGGCGCGGATACCTTCGGAAAGGGAAAGGCCAGGCGCTCACGCGACTTCTGCACGCACCGATGCCGCTTTCACTCAATTGCGGCGCGAATTTTGCGGCAACAAGCAACGCGAAGGCAACGAGCAACGCGAAGGCAACGAGCAACGCGAAGGCAACGAGCGGCGATGAGAGCGATTCTGGGTGGCAATGAGAATTCAATTGAGTCTTTGAAACCTATTTCATGGGTCCCGCCCCTACTTAATCATCCCGAGCTCACCTTTCTTGTCCTTCCACCGCTCGCTCCGCTAGCCGCCATACAACGACGCCCGGGGCATCGGCCGCCGCCCGGTCGGGGATCTTTTGCCCGTTTTTCGCGCGCTGCATGCGTGGTGTCGTGGCCTCGTCTCCGCCCTCGAGGAGATGGTTCGATGCGGGGAGGCTCGGCGCGCTTTGCGCGACCGTTGTACGACAGCCGAGATGAGCGACCAGCGGCACGAATTCTCAATTTTGAGTTACGGTAGAGCTTGGAGTCGAGATGAATTGTGTGGTTTGCTGCATGGCCTCGGAGTGGCAGAGCTCGGACACCCGTGGGTTAGGGTTTGAGCGGTGGGGATGATCGGCGCGATGGCTGGGTGATGGCGCAGGTCGCGGTGCTGGCGATCGCGAGAGTGGTACGATGGATCGTATGTTTTCGCTGGGTGGGCGTGGGCGAGACTGCCATCGGGACTGCATGTCAGTGTGCTTGGGGTGAGATGGGTGTTTAGTGGGAATAGTGGAGGATGCCCCGCGTGCTGCTCTCACCGTCGCTAGCTCGACGGTCATCGTACCCTTTCAGGTCTGATCTACAGACGCTCTCCCCGCATTCTTTCAGAATGTCTCCCTGGCCCGAGCTCCTCACGGCCGCGGCGACGGACTTCCTCCCCGAAACGTCATCGGGCCACCAAACTACTGTGGATCTCAGGGCATAAAGTGCAAAAGCAACGACAACCCGACTGTAGATCCTACCGTATCCATTGAAGCTCTGCGGATGCGTCCCGATAAGCGAGGACGTAGGGAACCTGTGTCATCTCACATTCGGCCCTTGCGAAGTGTCGATCTCGCTGGACTTCCATTGCTAACCGCAGTCACTTCTCCCGAAGAGTACGAGGTCCACACAGTGGATGATAGGGAACTTTCATATTCACAGAATCTCATGACCGGACCTTGAGCCTGAGCTTCCATCTCTACGGTGCAGTAATCATTTCGCCTCCACAGCAACTGCCATGGGAAGCCTGAAATACAAATCCGCGTCCCGCGCTGAGCCATAGCAATTAAACGCATATCCACGATCCGTCCTCAAGGGCGTGAAACCCAATAACATTCCATCGACAAATCCAACCTGAACCTCTCGGCTACATCACGTCAACCCACCAGCTCAGGCCGATATGAACTTCATCACTCCTGCACCCGCGCCCATCCGCAGAAACGAAACACACGCCTGCCTCGCACGCGAAGACAGGCGAAGACAAACCCACTTGCTCTCCGCCGCCCCAACGCCGCCCACCCTCCCTCCGTCTATCCCCATCCGCCCTCCATCATTCCCATCCCTCTCTAGATCCGTCCGCATCCTCTCGCCACACCCAACTCCCATTCCAATCCCTCATCCCTCCCTTCTATACAGCAACGCCATCTTAAGCCGTAGATAAGCCTGAACTGCCTCGTCCGCCGATCCAGGAGTCACGGTCGCCGTGGGAGAGGAGCTGGTGCTGGACCCTGATCCGGGCCGGGTGGGCACTGACTGAGCCCAAGATTCGATGGAGGAGAGGCGTGATTGCGGGAGGTATGGGTGCGAGGCTGCGGTGGTGGGGCGGGGGTCGGTCATGATGTCCAGCGTGAGGGAGAGGAAGCGTGAGGGAAAGGTGAGGTTGAGGAAGCGAGGTGAAGTGCGATCAGGAGGGGAGGCCAGGCTAAGAGTTCTTGAAGACGTTGCTTGGATCTAGCCGGGCTGAGACTTCTTTGAGGCGGTTCGAGTCCTTGCCGAGAAATGCTTTCTTGGGGTACTGAGGCGGCTTTCCAGCGTAGCGTGATAATCGGTACCGAAGATGTGGATTGGGATGGTAAGGTTGATACCGGTGTCGTGGGTTGGGTGTTTATATGTCGTGGAATACGTCGTGAAGAACAGGAGATCCAGTCCAAAGAATATGGAATGCACACTTGCGAATCGTGCCTCTTGCTTCCTCCTTGGAAATGAGACTGAGATAGCGGCTGCCCACTCGCCGATAATCCGCAAGCGAAAGGATTCGGTCCTGGCGTTTTCCTTTTTGTTGCGCAGGGCAGGAGAGTGGCGAGGGTAAGACGCAATAAGGCCGCCAACGTCAAACGGATTTATTGCAAAGGGGGGCAAATCAGCAACGTATTTTACTGTTTCCCTGGGGATAAAGGAGGGGCGTGAGGAGAGACGGGGCGAGGCGGGGCGTGTGCTGGAGACAAAGGATTGCGGCGCGGGGAACAGGTAACTGCGAGTATTTGGATAAAAAAGGGCCGGGCACAACGGCAGGTGTGTTTAGTTAGGGTTGGAGATGGTTTTGAGGGCCCCGTGAATGGCATCAGGGTTTACAGAGACTGGATATGGGATATATGCGAGATGTATGGAGTGTGGGGAGTGGATTGCATGGAGATGCGCGGCTTCACTGGCCTGCGACAAGACCGGCGCATTTCGCAGCGGGAGAGTGTGCATGAAGGCGACGGGCCGGCCGCGCATGCAGCAATATGCGCGCTCACGGGCTAGCCGGCCTGGCATATGACTTCTCGTGGAGCGCTTTCCTTTGCCCACAGTCTACTGCGGGATTTCGCTTCGTAGAAGCGCTGGTGAGCTGAACCTCCTCTGGGAGGGGATGTATCATCGCGGATTGCAGGAATCGTACCAGATTGGACATCCGAGTGTCGCAGGCGTTCGCCGCCGTGATTTAGCTGTGATTTGAAAGTGGAAGTCTCGGGGCGTGTGAGAGTGATAGGAGGATGAGACGTAGGGTACGTGCTCGCGATGCGAGCGGGTGTGGGGTTGACAAATACCATGCAGCATTACCGCATTGCAGCGCGTGGCACTAGCGCATCTAATCGGGAAAACTTCCTGCTCAAAACTCCTAGCCTTTCCCCCCGCAACCCCCCCCCCCACCCTCCTTGGAACAATCACAACTTTCCAGAGAAGCCCTCACCCCATTTAGTCTTCGAAAGCCCT